CAGGTTGCAGGAAATTCTGGAAGATTGACGGAGCAGCTCCAGTAGCTCTCACGTTCCACCCAGACTTTTTGAATTATCGGATGGCTCCATCAGAACACATTAAACAGCATTACAGTCTCGTGCCAGACTTGTTATCGTCACTTAAAGAGAGCACCGTTCGCATCTCATGGAGAGGTATAGTGTGTCCTTGGTGCTCCAAATGCATATCTCGCAAATTCTGGCAAGGCTGGAAATGCACAGATGACGGTATTGCTTCAAGTCAGCCAGGCAATCCTTGCCTATATCAGAAAATGATACCCATGGACGTACTCTCTCTTCGATCAGTGATTGACGAATTTGAGCTCAGTCCAATCAAGCGGGCTCTTTATTTTGATTCCAAGTATATCATCCCAGAGATTGATGACATAACGTTATATCCTTACAGAAAACTTACCTACAACATTCCTCGGGTCGGATCAATCACCCACTTAGTCTCCAATCGGGCTATCAATAGTCGTGTCAACGGTCCAGATGATTTATTTGACCAGCTACAGCAGGCTGACCTTGGTTTGCGGCGCTACCCCTTGCAGCAGAGCGTTGGTGAGTTATTGCACGCTGTGTGATGACGAAAGCTAAAGGACATTGCTCATAGTGGCTGGTACACTTACAGCCCACTTTGCCGTCAATTATGTAGGAGCTCCCAAGAAATTTGAAACTCGAAGAAATTAACACCTGTAGGGCATGCCATATAAATATGTTGTTTCGGTGGGCTCCAAAGGGTTCGACGAAGCGCCTAGCGAAATACTACGTGCCTTGGGTCGTCTCAGCTGGGCAACCGAAAAAACCGTGTCCGCCGCCGGATATCAGCCCCTTTCCCCGAATGAACTACTGCTACTCGGATATCTGGAGGGAATGAAAATAGGAGTATGTGCAGTGATCCTGATCTTTGTAGCAACTAACAACGCTAGTACCATGATGATGGAGAATCCTCACTTGGCCCAACCATCGCAACCCTTTCTCTCGGTGCCAAGTCCACCATGTTAATTCGGATGAAGTATAAATACTATCATGGGCAGAGTAAAGCAAAAGTGCCATTAGCCGATGATCCTATCCTGGAAGGCTGCGAGCTCCAGAAGCAGAGGCAGGCACTCCGAGACCAGCTCATTGGTGGTCATATAGCGCAAGTGGGCTACGAGAAACGGCTCAAGGAACTACTCAGACAATGCCGAAGTGGAGAGGCTGCACCCACCATCAAGATGGAGTTGAACCACGGTGACCTAGTTGTCATGCATGGTGCAAGACTGCAAAAGCACTTTGAGGTACGTAATTTGCCTCCTTAGCGAAGACCAACCCTAACACCCTCCAGCATTCGGTCATTCCTGACAGCAGACTGCGATTCGCCCTGACAGCCCGCTACATCAAACCAGAGGGTCTCAGTGCCGACGAATTGAAGAAGGGGCAATTTACTCTCTCACCCGACCAAATCTACGACGGACAGTGAGATTTATGGCCTGTTATCCCACTTATTTTTATGTCTTATATTGAAGTGTGCCTCATTAGCGGTACCGACGAACCCGAAAGAAGCAGAGGAAGAAATTGAAAGCGGAATGAGACAGAATGAGGCAAAAAAAACGGATACATCCTCTCACATGTTTATAGGCTAAGCCCTATACCCATACAAGAGAAGACATCATTATCAACCAGAGTTGACGTCTCCACCCCCTTCCCCTAATTACTAGTACTAGTAAGAATCTGATGGTGCACCGAGTCAAATACAGAGACGATAGCGCCGTTCCCTATGTACGAAATACCAAAGGTTAACTCATTACATATATGCTCAAGACAGTGGCTCCCCCCAAAACTACCTTTGGAGGCGTCACCACACGTAAAAAGAGAACCTTGGTTCTTCCATTGCCTCATCCAGAAAGCATCACATCACATCAACCAGGAGATTTGATTATTCATTCAGTCTGAGAGTGAGGAGAATGTAGTGGTTAAGTAAAGTAAGTATGTGGAGCAAAGTAAAATAGAGAAACCCAACGGGAGCTAGCCAGTCAACCCGTCAATCCATCCGCTCGTCCGTCCCATACGATAACAGTTCCAATCCATACCAATCCAGTCCAGTCCCACTCACTACTCCAAACCAAACCCATCAGTCCACACTAGACAGCAGGAGCAGGCGTAGCCTCCGGCACAACATCAGCCGCAACGGTGATGGTAGCGACTGCAACCCAGACTTCACCGGGGTTGAGCGGGCCAGGGGGAGGTGCATTGCCACTGGTAACGACGTTACCGTCGTCGTTGCTGGCGGGAGGGGCAGGGGCAGGCGGGGCGGGAGCAGGAGGGGCAGCTTCGACGGGCGGCGTGGAGGATCCTTGGTCGTAGCATTTGAGGAAGGAGTCTATAGGTCAGGGTTAGCGTTTGGTAATGGTAATGAGCCACATGGGAGTTTCCAGAACCATAGGAAGGGGAGGTGCGGAGGGTTTAAGAAAGAGGAGGGCGTCCGGGGGGGGGCAAACATACCAGAAGAATAGTAGGCGTAGGTATCAGCGTTGTTCAACGCATCCGCCGTGCCCAGCGCCAGGACATCGTCAATCCCGTAGGCGATATCGTCCGTACCCTGCGTCTCGGCGAGAGAAGCGTGGGTCATCTCGTGGAGGGTGACGCTGGCACGGTCGAGGTAGCCGCAGTCGTTGGAGATGGCCACGGTCTGGTAGTAGGCCGGGCAGTTGACGACCCTGTTCTCGGTGGGGTAGGTGATGGCGGCGATGTTGCCTCCGCAGGCGTCGTCGCCGGACGGCTGGCAGTAGTAGGTGAGCGTGCCGACGGAGGTAGCCTCGGCGGCGACAGCGTCCATGCGGGACGCGACCTGGTCGCGCGCAGCCTGGTCGGAGGTCTTGAAGTACTTTTCGAAGAGCCCGCTGGTGCCGGCGCGGGCGTCCGCGGCGGCGGCCTGGGCCATCTGCGTGGCGCGGCCGAGGGCGTCGTGCGCCGCTTGGGTGTCCTCTGCGGAGCAGTCGGCGAGGGTGGAGCGCGCGGATAGTCTGGTGTGGCGGTCCTTGGGGGCCGTGACGGTGATGGTGTTGGTGCGGTAGGCGGCGCGGGCGAACTTGGTGGGCTGCTTCGTGGTGGTGTATTCCAGGGCGCTGTTTGCGGCAGCGGTGTAGGTCTGGCCGGGGGTCAGGTCGTAGAAGTCGGAGACGTCGAAGGTGGTGTGCAGGGTCTGGTTGGGGGCGATATGCGCGAAGGCGTCGCGGGAGAGGTGGCTGTTGATGTAGCGGACCTCTGCGCCGTCGAAGACGGGGGCCTGGGCGTCATTCTCGCTGGTGATGTTGACCTTTCTCGTGGGGCGCCAGTCCATCAGACCGCCGCTCTTCACGATTTCGAGACTCTCATGACCGGTGTTCGTGATGCGGGCTAGCACGGCGGTGTCGCCCAGTGCGCGCAGACGAACGTCCAGGGGGAAACTGATGCCGCCGTCCCGCGGAGGCTCCGAGACCCGTCTCGGAAAAGTGATTGGCTTTCCAGCAGCCAATGTAGTCAAAAGAGCGAAAAGCTGAAATAGGAGAAGGAGGGGGGCCATGATGAAGGGAAAGTATATTTATATATAAAGAAAGTAAAAAAAAATTGTATATAAAAAAAAGTAATATAAAAAAGAAAGAAAGGGAGAATGAAAGATAGGAAGAGAATACAATGAACAAGATGGCCTGGTCTCAGATGGCTAAGACGGAGGCCCCCGGGGCTCTTATATACCGCAGCAAAGTGAGATGAAGCGATACTGGGTCCAGGAACCTTGGGCGTTTCAAAACACCTGCCCTAGTCAGGTTCCTAGACCTGGGGATAGTCTCCGGATGGGTCACAACACGACCTGGACCAGAGCCCGCGGCCCAGCAGCATTGAATGTAGTGGCCAGTTGGGCGACAGCCACCAGTGTGGATTCGTTGCGATGCGGTATTCCATCATGCATCTTCGTCTCCCATCTCGTGGCAGACATGTCGGACCTGATGGTGAAGAAATACGTTGACAGCTCGTCAGTTGCCGCCGTAGCTATGCGCTGCAGAAGCGCCCATCTCGAGGAGAACAAGTGATCATCAGCAATCTAGGCACGCGGGGCCCTCGCATTAGAAACAACGGACTGATCGATTTTTCGTTTCAGCCCCGTCTGGCCGCCCAGTGGAATCTCCCGGCTATAGTCCGTACGGCATATACCGCAAGGAGGCGGACTCAGACAACCCAGGCCGAGCCCACAGCTAGTATATCCAAGGGACGAGCGCCCCACCCCGGTCAATGAATGTGTCAAGAAAGGCATGACTCTCAGGATGCTTTTAGTTGTCTTAGATCCCAAAAGGACAGGAGGAGCATCAAACAACAGACCGAAAAGGAAAAGCAGGACCCGCCGGGTCCTGAGCCGTTATTTAGATATCCATAGGATCGACATCCCGATGAAGGAATCGGGGAAAAAAAGGGTGGATCCCTCCCCTGGCTGAAAACATGGTCGGCCCTTTTTCATACCCCTGACGACCCACCGAACCGGCCACTCCCACTTGTCTCTTGACTCCTTGCAGGTGACTTGAGTGACTCTCGGTTGACGCAGGAACCCGACGGGACCCAGGGATGGGAACGGACGTCGGGACGTTAGAACAATGGATTATTGCGAGAGTACCATATGATCAGTGGCGTCGGCATTGTGTCTCGGTTCCACGCTTCCGCTTTTAGAGAGTTTATAGAGGGATTGGCTGAGTTGAGCGCGTTCTGGGACACAGCTGCGACGCATGGTGGCTTGGCGATCTTGGAGGGATGTTTGAGGTTTGAAGATCTTGATAATGAGCCGCGTTTGTTGACCAACCAGATTCTTTCTTGAATCGTGATATATATAGTGTTGTCTCGGGTGCTCCACTGTTCATTGTTGGTTGAGCTTCAAATAAGAGGGAATGATATGAAGAGGAGAAGAGAGAGTCAAGGTGGATGACATGGAAGATTCTATATAGGGAGTAAAAAGAAAAGAAAAAAAGAAAAAAGAATGACCAGTGCCAGGTTCGAACTGGCGACCTTTTCGGTGTTAACGAAACGATATGACCAACTAATCCAACCGGCCATTGATGGAGGAATCGTTCCCCAATTGAATATCTGAGCAGCAACAGCCAGAATTGACTTGAAACAAACAACCCTAAAATGAAACGCCCCAAAGTCTAGACCAAAGTTTATTTTGACACTTTTATAACTACCATGTCTACAGTCAGAGTGCAGACAACCAACTAAATGGTATCATTCCTGATTCGACCTATGGAATACTACCCTAGAGTAATCCCGCTTTCTAATATGTCAATATCAAATCAATCAAGCTTGAGGCTCCATCCCATCCTGTCTGTCTGGTGGTTTCTCTGTATCTTTCAGAAACACGACGCATCCAACGGGGGGAAAAGAAGAAAAAGAAAAAGAGGAAGAAAGTAGAAAAGGCAAGCTCTCAAAATACAACCCGGCCTGGGTCCTCTGTAGTTCGGACGACGGGTGGAAACTGCAAGAAGTGAAACATCAAACAAGGAGAATAAACAAGACAGGAACATCGCATCGGATCAATCAGTTGAATCAATCAATCAATCAACGAATAAAAAACAGCACGACCAAGTCTGCATGGACATTACAGCAGAAAGACTTCCCAAATCTTCACCGCAACACGGGGGGGAAAGATTAGATACAACGCAGAAGAAGAAGCAAAAAAAAAAAAAAAAAAAAAAAAAACACCTTCCGCAAGATAGACCCCACAACTCCGTTTCCAGTGATAAAAAGCCGGGTATATCCAGCACCGTGATGCAAAATGTACGGAGAATAGCAATAGGCCGAAGTCGAGATCGCGGTAAGGTCCTCCGGTCTAAAGACGAAAGGCCTCAACTTCATTTTCATTGTCCCTTTTTCTTTTTTTTGGTGCTTTTTTGGGGGTTTTGGTTCTGTTCTGTTCAAGTCCGAAACCTGGTTCAAGAGACAAAAGCAAGATGGAAAAGAAAACAGCCAGAAGAAGAGAATTGAGAAAAAAAATTTCTGTTCTTTTCTTTTTCCTTGTTCTTTTCGATTTTCTGGTTGGGTTCTCCCCCCTTCTCATCAACCGGGGGAAATGGACTTGGATGTGTGGAGGGGGTTCTCGTTTATCTGGCCCCAATCCCGTACATGCCCACCCCGTAGCTTCCTCCGCGGTCTGGGTGAGGGGTCGATATCTTCGAGACATGGTCCTTTGATCCATTATCAGTAAGGCTGCGCGCGTGTCCCCAATGTCCCTCACTCGACTACCCTACCTTCTTTCGCTTCTTCTTCCCCACCCCTTCCCCGTTGGAGTTGAACGCGCCCTCGTCATCGTCGTCCGCAAACCCTTCGCCGTACCCGACAAAGCTATTTTCATCGTAATGCCGTTTGCGCCCGCGGCTGGGTCGATTGCGATCCGCTTCGGCCGTGGGTGTCCCGTTCGCGGAGTTCGGTCCTCGCGCACCGCTGGGCGCGGGCGGGCCGGTGGTCGTCTTCTTGCCAGCCTCCGCGCCCCCGTGTTTCGACGGCTTCTCGTGGCCCAGCACATCCTCCCAGTAGTCGTTGTTCGGCACGGCGCCCGGCTCCATCCTCATCGCCCTCATTTGGAGATTGTGCAAGGCGGAGTCCATGTCGGCGATCTTGATGTCCTTTCCGTACACCTTCTGGTTCTGCCATTCTTCCTCGGGCCACAAGGTCATGTGCCGTAACCCGCCGGGTGCCCCAGGCTCTTGTTTGACGGGCTTATTTCGCCCTGCGAGGCCCAGTCCCTTTAGTTTGCCCTCGTACGATTTCCGTAACCGATTAATCTTCTCCCCCGTGATGGGGTCCATGCGGGCCACCGACTTTGCCACCGGCCCGAGCCCGTACAGCGAGACGAGATCGATCGACGGATCGGGACCAGGTGTGACATGGGCTGTAGGTTCAGGGCACAGTGTTAACGAAGCTCAGCCTAGAAGGTTATGAAACAGCGCGCAAAGGCGCAACATGTATGAATGGAAGGGGGGCATCAGCCCGCACCAGTAACTGGTGTTGGGGAGCTCTTACAGCTTTTGCACAGATGGTAAGCCGACGAGAATTCCTTTTGTAGCGAGTCCAGACTCGATATCCGGCCCAGAGCGGTGTCCGTATCAATGTCCATGGCGTCGCCGGGGTGAGGCATCCCTGTCCCCCCAGCCTGCCGTTCGTGATCGGTTCGCCGGTTATCTGCATGTGGTGCCGAGGCGTCCGTCAACGCTGCCGCGTCCGGCATCGCCGAAGCAACGGACTTATCCGCGTGCTCGGCCTCATCGGCGAAGGAGGGCCCCGGAAACTGACCGCTCACGCTGCTCGCTGGGGTGGGAAACGACTGCGGGGGGCCTACGACCGGCTGCTGAGATGGCTGAGTGGACATGGGAGCCGAGGATGGAGGGGAGGAGACGTTCGCGGGCTGAGAGGTTGTCTGCTGGTTGGGCGATGCTTGCGAGGAAGTGAAGCTGGAGGCATAATTCTGAGCGCTTACCGACATCAACGGTGGCGATGTCGGGGTCTGAGGGATCTGATCGGACACGGGAATCGACGGCTGAGTCTCCTTGAGAGAGCCGGCGGCGGGAGAAGACGGTGAAGGAGGCCCTGCTCGGAGTGATACCGATGAGGCGCGATCAGACATGGAGTTTCGGCGGAGAGATGCAAAAGAGACCACGGTCGGCTGACGAAACGCCTAAGGAGGGCGGAACGCAGCTTGCGTCCCACGACCCGTTTCGTGAGATGGTCGAAATCGACAATCCTCACGGAACAACGGCGGGTCCAGACAGATCCAGAGCGAAGGGAGGGGGTGTGATCACACCGGGTCGCGGAAGGCTCAGGCGGGCGAGCAGGACGTTGGAACGACCCGTCTAGACGAAACACATTCCAGATCGCTGGGGGTTGACTCCTGGAACTAACCAAAAGAAAGGGGATCGGAAAATAGCGAGGCGAATCGATGAGTGGAGAGTGAAATCTTGGCGAGAAGAGCGATGGAAGACGGCGAAGGGAGGGGGGTTTGGTTCGGGGGTTCGTCAATGGTGGTGATGGTGGGAGAGAGAAACCCTTTGATCCGCCGCTGGAGGAGAAGATGGAATGGAATTGGATAGCATGACGGGATGGGAAGGGGTCACGTGACCAGATCCGCGGGACGATACGGTACGGTACGGTCATGGCTGTATCCTCCATACCGTATAATACGAAACTCCCCTACGCCTTATGAGAGATAGTTCTGTCATCTTGCTTCAGAGACCCTTCACAGTCTTGCCAGTATAATGCTTAAAAGTCTATTGAATGCTGTACATAGACTGCTCTCGTCTCCTCCCTTGATCTAAAACTACCTACCATACCACCCTCTACAGGGTCTGTCAGTATACATTCATCCAGAGAGAATGCGTCCAGTATCAGAGATTGCGATCCGAGACCAAAAAGTGCACGCGAGTCAAACTCGAGGATTTGCATATCCAACAGAAGCAAGCCCCCGTGGTAGAAGTCCATGATTCCACTACCTACGGAAGGACGTGCGGGGTGGGTCCGATACTTCAATGGCCCGAGAGACTCCGTAGGGACCATTCATTCGTCCATTCCCAGGTTGGCTGTCAAGAAGGTGGATGGTCTTCCTGACATAGGTATTCGGGGCTTGCTGAACGGCGCATTTCGCAACCGCCTATCCCTGACAAAAGACTAATCATGGATCGGAGCCACGGATCGATTGATGACCCTTTGTAGAAGTATCTCCGGGAAGACCAAATGATCGTGGGGTGGACAGATAGCGTTTCACCCTCGATAGATCATAAACAGAAAAAAAAAAGCCAAGAAAATGAAAGAAAAATCAGAAAAGATCCAGGTTTCCTTTGAAAGTCGTACACTGGCTCCAAACGCCAAGCTGTCACAACTCGTAAACAAACACACCCCGTAATCATATAGCCCATGGGTATATTTACATTTCCAGAGAGAGTAAAATAAACACGATCTTGGATCCCCGAGTCGTTGCGGTGTACGCATTGACTGTAAGGGACCTGTCGGGACGCCAAGAAAATACAGTCATAGAGTAAAGATGGGTTTGGAAAAAAAAGGAAAAGAAAAAAA